TTTGACGCTTGCTGGGATCTTGTGGAGACTGATGTTGAGGAAGCTGTTGTGGAGTTATTCTCTGGTCATCATATGCCAGAGTATTTCATGGCTACATAAGTCGTATTAATCCACACGAGACCTTGCCCAGACTCTTGGACCAATTATCGGCCTATCAGTCTCTGTAACGTGACCAACAAGCTTATCTCCAAAATTCTGAACGGGCGCCTTGCCCCTCTCCTCCCCTCTTTCGTCTCTCCAACCCAGAGTATTTTCATCAATGAACGAGTCATAAGTGATAACATTCTCTTGGCTCAAGAGATGATCCACGACATCTCCCACGCGAATGGGTTACGAGGCCCAAATCTTGCGCTGAAGCTAGACATGGCTAAAGCATACGGGTTGAGTGGCCTTTTTGCAGGGAGATGCTGAAATGGATGGGATTTCTAGAACGATGGGTCAACTTTATGGAGGCGTGTGTCGAGCACTGCACGTTCTCTATTTTGATTACTGGCAGCCCCATTAATTTCTTCTCTTCATCTCGTGGCCTCCGACAGGGAGACCCTCTCTCCTCCTCACTTTTTGGTCTGGTAGTGGACTATTTCTCACGCTGCCTTGACGCCTTCATCTGTGATAACCCGAGGATGACCTACAACACTAATGGCTGTAGTCCTCCCATCTTACACCTCTCTTATGCGGATGACATCATTATCTTCACCCGTGCGGATAATGATGGGCTGACCGAGCTGATGTGTCTCCTGGAGCATTATAGTAGAAGCTCATCAATGTGCAGAAGAGCTCCTTCATCCTTTCCCCTCACATTGCGGATCAGCGGGAGCAATGGGTCCAGGAGCGCACTGGCTTCGCACGTGGAGATCTCCCCATCACTTACCTTGGCGCTCCTCTGTATAAGGGGCATCTGAAGAATATTTTTTTCACATATGCCACACAGAGAATGATAGACCGACTCTTCGACTGGTCTCATAGACACATCTCTTTTGGTGGTCTACTTGTGCTGATCAAAAGCACCCTCAGTGCCATCCCGCTTCATCTCCTTATGGTCCTAGACCCCTCCCGGTCCACTCTCCACGAGTGAGATCATATAATGGCTCGTTATTCCTGGAGGCATGGGGAAGGCTCCCAGAGAGGAGACAGGTCCACTGGGTGAAGTGCGACTCTATTTGTCGGCCTTTATCCGAAGGTGGTCTTCGGATCCGCTTCTTATCTGACGTAGTCACTGCTTTATCTTATAAGTTGTGGCATCGCTTCAGGGAGAGAAAGTCACTTTGGGCTCAGTACCTTCGTGGGAAGTACTGCCCTAGAGGCGCCAGTCATCCCTGCCGAATGACGACCACCGTTTGAGATAGTAGACAGTGGAGGCTGCTCACCAGGGTAGATAGACGCACCCAGAAGCACATCTTCTGGACACCACGTGAGGGAGACGTTAGCTTTTTGTACAAGTGCTGGTTCGGTGAGTGGCCTTTTTCGAGCATTTGGCAGGTCACTCACTCTCCTTTTTGTGGGTGAAGGACATGTGGTCAGACGGGACTTGGGATAGGGATAGATTATAGAGGGTGTTGGGTTCTGCAAGGTTTTAGTTACCATATTTTAGATCAGATCCAGCAGGTTCGAATCTCGGACGGCTATTTAGACAGTATGAGGTAGAGACTTACATCTTCGAGTGCATTCTCTACGACCTCGACTTGGGGGGAAATTCGACTGGGTGACCGACCTAACCTTCTCTTCGGGGCCATCTAGACCGACCTGTTTACCCCGACCATCTCTGTTTTCCTTTAGCGCCTCCTTCTTCGCCGTATTCCGATGACATTGTGATGCTGGCGAGAGGGATTTCCTTCCCCTCGCAGTGTTACTGCTGCACCAAGACCGAACATTTCCAGAGGGAGACTTTTTCCTGTTTGTTTTTAGAGAGTGAGGTTGCGAGGAGGGTGTGAGCATTTTGCCACTTATACTCATATATTCCTTCCTACCACAGACAACGTTTTTGAGCTCTCGAGTTTGTTCTCACTGCGCACACACTGTAGACACGTGGGCTTCCTCTTTCTTTGTCTGATCATGTGGTCCATCTGGACAGAAAGGAATAGTGCGAAGCATAGGAGTATTACCTTTATGTCTTCTCACATTGTTTTGCAGGTTGAGCGACACCTATCTCTCCTCACAGCTCTGGGCAGACTCACACCTAGAGACTGGACAGGCTGCACGCTGCTACACCGTCTCATACCATCCCTGCTGCCGCTTGTCTAACACCCACGTCCCAGAGCCGTTGTTTGGCTGAGACCCGATTCCTCTTGGGTTAAGATAAACACTGACCGACGAATCTTACAACCGACTTACCGGCACCGCCGGAGGAGGAGGCCTAATTATTGACCACAATGGAGATCTCATTATCACTTTTCACGCCCCTTTTCAAGCCACCTCGAGTTATGACGCAGAGATCCAGCCGCTTCAGATCGATCTCCAGACCACAACCTCTATCTTCCTCTCACATTTGGATTGAGCAAGATGCCGCCACTGTCGTCACTCTCTAACTTCAAGACATCAGGGTTCATGGCAAATTCAACACCCACTTATGCGCATTAGATCCACACTCCAGTCGGTCCGCTATCGGATATCGCACATTTTTCGAGAGGGGAACCGACTCGTTGACTTCCTAACTTGCATTGGTGCCTCCACTCCCTAGAGGCGCATCTTACAGTCGGACGACACCCCTATCCGACTCTACATTCTTATACAGATGGATCGTCCTATTAGGATTCTTTCCCCTTTTACTACACTGTTTGTCCCATTTTTTGTTGCGTTTTTCGTCATTATTTTTCTTTTCTTTTTCACCCATTTTAGTTGGTTTTTAGTTCGTTTTGTAGTTTATTTCGTGGTTTGCTTTATTTTGGTCTTTCTTGTGTTTCTCGTGTATTTTTCTGGTTTTTCGTCGTCGTTGGTGTGCAGGTTGGAAGTCTCAGGAAAATGGGATTTCAGGAAAATATTAGTCGGGCAAGCGTAATCAAATAGAGGAGTTCGTTGGCATCACACAGGAGAAAACATAATCAGATTTCGAGTCCCAACGAGCATATACGAGCCTAAAACGTAAAGTCATGCGAGCTACCCAACACCCCTGCCAGGCCCGCGGCATGCCGAGCCCCGCGCTGCGCCACTCGTGCCTTCACCCCGCTGCGCCAGCGCCATGACACGGACTGAGGTTCCCAGGTATCCCAGCTCCGCGCTGCGCCCGCCTTCACGCCGTGATGCAGCTGCCTACCGTGCCGCTGTGCATCTCCCACGCCGCGACACACGATTCATTCGCGCCGCGAGACCAACAGACGTTCCAGGCCCGCGCTGTGATGAAGCCCCGTGCCGCGGTGACCCTCCCTGCCGCGCCATGTCAACCCTGCCGTGCCGCGGCACACGCCCTCCTCGAGCCGCGCTACCATTTTTTCCACGCCGCGACTCACTCTTCTGTAAATATGCACGGACCGCTCAAGCATCTTATCTCTCATCTCTCGACTCCAGAACATAAAAACCCTACCCTCTCTTCTCTTCTCTCGTTCTTTCACTTTTCTTTCATCTTTTTCATCTTAAAACACAAATTGTTCGTGGATTTGAGTGGAATTTTCTTCATTGCTTTAGATTTAAGCCTGTTTATCAGATTCAACTTTGGAATTTTGTCAATCGTAAGATTTTCTTCTCATTTAACTTGATGAATATGAATTCTTTGGTTGATATAAATGCTTGTGTTGATTCAGTTATGAGTAGCTAAATCCATATGCTAGGAATAGGGGATTAATGTTTTGGATTCAGTTGTGATTGTGGTGTTCGTTGATTGTTCTTCTTATGCGAGGTGAACTTTTATTAGGGTTTTCAATTATCGTTATGGGATATTGAGAATTGTGGAAGGGTGACACTTCAACTTACAATTGTTTCAATTGAATTTGATATATACCTACATGATGTTGGTGATTCTATTCGATTAGCTGGTTAACCACCATCTAAATTATCTTAATCGACTCTTAGAACCGAAAAGGGAGGAGTCGGTCGAAATAGACTCGTATAAGCTAGGTTTGTTCGTAACTGTATTGCCTAGGTGTTAAATGACTTGTTAATTTGTCGTTCAAGTTTGTTCTCTTGTTACGAAGAGTTATTGAGGATGAGTACTTGAACGTGCAGGGTATTCAAATCACTTAACCGAACAGTCATTTGCCCATTTATTGCAAATCGAACCAAAACGAATATCCCTGACTCCCTAGCTCTTTACTCTTGCTTGTTCATCGTCTATGCTTTTAAATTTCTATTAGCTTAATTTGAACTGTCGTAGTTAATAATCCAACCAAATCATCTGAATTAGAATGTTTAGGAATTTTTATTTCTTTTATTTATGCTTGAATAAACGTGCAGAGTATTCCGACTAACCTTCCTCGTGAGACACGACCCGGTAGTCCAATCTTACGATTCTACTCTGGAAAAATATTTACAATATACACAACCCCCATGCCCTTAGATCGTAACTACGACCTCCTGACCTTCCTGCTGTAGGACCTTTCTGAGGTCGAATTTGACCTCCCAACTTACGACTTCAACACCTTGAGATCACCTTGCATATTCGAGCTTCCTGAAGGTCATGACTTCCAGGTTGCATCATCAGGTCGGCCAGTCCCTCGAGTTGTATCCTCGAGCTCGCTGACTAGGCCGACTTCTGTCATCGATCTAGAGCTCCTTTGCACCGGGCCTACCCAATTAATCATCCAGGCCGGTCTGTTGAGCTATTATAAGTGCTATTTCATATCATGTGTAAAAAAGGAAAAAAATTTGACACGAAGACGCAATCTGATCCACATGCTACTATTAACATCAATCCAACTCTTTGGATTGCAAGCACAATGAACTCACATCAATGTCTTTTTTGTATTTGTTGCACACAAAAGAAGCAAAATTCTTACACTATCAAGAAAATGAATAAGATCTGAATTGGGAAAGTAAAGGTGAGAAAAATAGAGATGAACAATTAATTTTAATTAACATGGTGATGAATCTAAAAGTGCATCCCAGATAAGGTCCATGTCCAAAGAAGGCATTCTGCTCAACTGTACAGCTTCATCACTTTTCTTCATCTCATCAATAATATTTCTCGACTCCAACTCCAACGCCGGCCCTTCCACACCATTATTCATCTTATTATCCACGAACTTTTTCGAGATCTTGGCCGCGATACTACTATTAGTCCTCGACCTTGCCTTGATTTGGTGCTTGAGGTGAGGAAAATTGAGCTGCGCATAATCGCCTCTCAAAATATAAGCTGCCGTGTCGTATGCAAAAGCGGCTTCGTTCGCCGTGTCGAAAGTCCCCAACCAAACCCTCGTCCGCTTTCGAGGCAGCCGTATTTCGGCCACCCATTTCCCCCACTGCCTTTGTCTCACTCCTCTGTACAGCTTCTTATTATTCCCTTGAGGTTCAGTTTCTGGACTACTCTTCAATCCGTAGCTAATTATGTTTGTCAACTCATTAATTGGTTTGATAGGGTGTTTGGATTCGACTTGATTGGAGATGGAGAAGGACGGGTTTTCAAAACGTATGGAGAATTTTGAGTTTGAGTTGTTCAGAGATGAAGAAGTTGGGAGAAAAGTGTTTGCGTTTGAGGTGCCAGAATTGATGGTGAAGCCGGATGGAAGCAAAGAGTGTGGCTGAGATTTAGTTTCTTTATTAGAAAACAAAAGGGTACTACAATCAATGACCTCATTTGTATTTGTAAGAGGAGAACTCAGCACTGAACTGGAAATCCACAGTTTTTGGCCACCAAGAATGTTGGTATGCCCAATTAATGTTGTTGATCTTGGTGAATCCTTGTGCACCAAGGCTTCCAATTTGTGAAATTTACTGTCCATATAAGAATGATGTGAGAGAGAAAGAGAGATGAGGAAATTTTAATGACTAAAAACAGTAGAATGTACTCCTACTACATCTACATCTTATATATATGTTTTTGTCAATAAAGTTTAAAGGAGTTGATAAGATGTGAATAATAAAGAAAGAGTAGTATATTTTGAGCCTCTGTTATGATAAGCTCAAATTGGGTGTTGAGTTATTACAAATTGGTGCACCATATATTCTTTTGCAGACAAACCAATCGCAACTTTACAATTGGCATCTTTGTCTTTCCTGGATTTTGGGATCTTTTGAAGAGATGTATATTCTTCCCTGACACTGACAACAACTACTTTAAACTCTAGATTTACTTTTTCTCTCAAGCCTGGCCCTGACTCTTTTTTTCCTATTTTTATGTTATTTAAAAGTTTTTCAGCATGTATTAAACACAAACAGATAGACACCAAATAGAACGTCATAATGTTACTTTAATTTGATGTTCTTTTCTGAGTGCCAGCTATTTATAGCCCTTTTTCGAAGCAGTAATGAAATATTGCCATTTTTATAAGAAAAATGAAATGTAATTATTTTGGTAAGCAAAAATACCATTGTACCCTTATTAATGTTTTACCTACCAAAGATATTTAAAAAAAAAAAAGAAAAAAGAGTCCTCTGCGCACGTTGTCCCCATTCATCTCCTTTCTCTCCTCCATTGTTCTGTGCGCTGCGCTTCATCTTACCAAAATTCACTTAAACGTAATCTCTTTTCAAATATCTATCTCTAACACCACCAAGTGAATCCTTTTTTGAGAAGAAAAAATGTACATTAACATAAACATAATTTTGTTTTTTTATTATGTTAAATAAAATTTTTTTTGAACACGTTTATTATTTTTGTTCCCAAAATTATTGATTTGTCTAGTACAATTTTATTTTGTTGAACTCATTTTTTTGGAGTTTAAAAAATAGAGATTTTGTGCTTCAAAAAAAAGGGTTGTGTTTTGGAGTTTATGACTTTTGTTGTATTGTTAATTGAGCCCTTTTTTTTGGAGTTTAGGAGCTGAATTAATCGTTTATTGAAGAATAAACAATTTCTTGAACGAAAACAGTTTCTTGAACAAAACCACTGTTTCTTGAGCATGAAACGAGTTTCTTGAGCAAGAAACCCGTTTCTTGAACAAGAAACTGTGTCTTGTATTCATATATTTTTTCCAAACACATTTGAAGGTAAAAAAAAGTTGAAGAAAGTATTTGTACTAAAATTTTTATTTATTTATTTATTTATTTTTAGATGGACGTTGGTGCGAATTGTTCACAGTGGCTTTTGGGATGGGAATGTGTACAAAAATGGTGAGACAGAGATGAATTTTTTCTGTCTTAAGACCTCATCATATGAAGCTTTCATGAATATAGTTCATGAAAGTTTCAATGTTTACTTATTGTTATTTTACCCATAAGAAAATGTTATATTGTGTTCCATTATTTTGTTTTCTATGCATGTACTATTTTTAGGAAGGCAAACGAATCGGTGTATAGAAATGTGCACAACTACTACAAGACCACAACATGGCGCAAACTTTACGAGCCCATAATCATGCCAATTGCGCATCCAAGTACTTGGGACTTAACTACAGCGACTAGTTTGATTGTTGTCAAATGCCTTATTGATCCCAAGCAAGCCGGAAGACCGAGGTCAAACCGCATACCTTCTACTGGCCCTTCTTCGAGCTCTCGAAGTAAATCATTTTGTACACGATGCCGCAAAAGCGGGCATTACTCTACACCTTGTGTTGCGTTTGTCCATAACGTTGAGCAACCAACTCAATTTGGACGTCCCGGTAGCAAAGTTCGTTTATCTGGTAAATGTTAGCAACTCGGCCATCGTAGGAACAAGTGTTCTCAAAACATTACCTAGTTGTTTTGATTTTTTTTTTTATTTATTTGTTGTTTTTTTATGATCGTAAATGAATGTTATTTGTATGAATGATTTGTATGGATAAATTTATTTGTGTTGTTTGTCATATTTTTGTCCCGACATTAAACCGAGCATCCATTTTTGAAAATATATATATAAAAAAAAACAAAAATAAAAAAATAACGATGTAAGCCGCGGTAGCCATGGTTGAGGTAGTCTTTCGGCCAACCGGAGTTGACATGTCAACCGGCTGTGAGATGGTTATTTGAACTTCAAACATGAATGAACAATTTGAGCCGCGGTTGAACTTCGAGTTGCGGTTGATGTACTCATTCGACCAACCACAGTTGACTCTTCAACCGGAGTTAAAAAATTTTCTCAACGGGAGTTGACATGTCAACCGGCTACGAGATGGTTATTTGAACTTCAAACATGAATGAACTTCGAACCACGGTTGAACTTCGAGCCGCGGTTGATGTTTCACATGTTTCATAACCATCAAAATAATCAAAAGAAACAAAAACTAACATTAAATTGAAGTAGCATTTTACAGTCTAAAAAAATAAAGAAGAAACAGAAGAACTTTCACTGTGGATGAGTGGATGAAGAGGGAACATCGGGTCCCATGGATAGAGTAGTGGCCAATGAATCCAAACGAGCATCAATTGTATCTAACCGAGCATCAGTTGCATCTAACCGTGTCCGCACATATCCCTCAAATGATGTCAATTGATTGAAAATTCTTTCCATCCAGTCCGATTGTGTGAAACTTGCGTCGGCACCGTTCGGTCCCGCCAATTTGTTGCATATCCAAAGATTTTCCTTTTGCAATATTTTTTTTAAAGAAACGCTCGACTTTGGGCCTCTTTTTGTGGGGGGATAAGAGCAAAATTCTTATCAATGAATTTACAACGAGTCAACCCTTCCTTGTCAATAATCTTTGCCAGTGTGACCGTTTGTATCCTAAGCCTCGTCGGATTCAAAATTTGAAAGTGCATTACCAATGCCGTCACAAAAGTCCCAAACGACGGATGATATCATTCATATGCTTGGATGTCGGCTAAGTTTGCTCAAATAAATTCGGTGGCATTTTTTTTTCCATGGCACACTTCATTATAAAAGTTCATGTTGGTTCAATCTAGTAGTTTGATCCTTCCCCGAGACTTGATAAGTGATGAACTTCCCAAAAAAGCCTAAAGCAACATCCTTCACAAGAAAAAAAGAAGCCCCGTTTGATGTAAATTTGTCACTCCCGGAAATCACCTTCCAATCCATTGGAGCCCTCTTGAGATAACCTATGGGCTTTTTTTTAGTGCCCACGGACGTGAACCCGAAAACATCTTTCATCACCTTGGGTGTCACCTTGCACTCTCTTCCCATCATCTGACATGTAAGAAGTTTGTTTTTGTCTTCAATATTCATTGTGCTAATAAATTCAAGCGTTAGGGGGTGGTAAGCTTGATATTGCATTTCTGCGTATTGCAAACGGTTGACATTGGCGAGGTACTCTTTTACGTTGTTGCCAGTCCCGATCTTTTCTAAAAGTTGCCAATCAATTTTTCGAGGTTGGGTGATAAATGATTCGTCAAGATTTCTAAAGTGCATGCTTTCATCCGCAAGGTATATGGAAAACGGACATCCATACTCTTTTTGAATATTTTCTTGATTGAGGTCAATTTGATACAATGGCTCATCTCCCTCTTTATTGGTGTCAGGTCCACTTTCTTCACTTTCCCTGTCCTCGTGAGAGTGAGAGTCCTCACGAGATGGAGAAGTTTCGATAGTTGGTGTACGTTGTCTCTTCTTAGCCATTTCGTCGAACACCTTGTGGGCACAATGTCACTTGTTTTTCACCACCTACAAAATCACCACCAACACCACCTACAAAATCAAATCATGTGTTTCCAACAACAACCAAGAATTCAAACCAAACAATATTCAACCCAACCAAAGTTCATCATTACAACAATTACAAAATTCTCAACCAATACAAAAAAATAATAGCAAGCAAAATACCTACTCAACTTTAGAATTAGAATAACTTGCAAACCTTAACACTACACTCAAAAAGTCTCATTTACATCCATTCCAAAAAACAAGAAAAACCCAACAAGAACAAGAACTCACAAAATCATCTAAATGCTTAAGCTTTGTTCAATTTCCCTCACACCACCACTCACAAAATCTCATTTCCCCCATTCCAGGAACAAGAACTCTTTTACCATCAAATTTCATTCAAAACCCAACAACAAAAATAATCCATTTGTTCAAAACTCTTTGCCCATTCAATTCACAAGAACAAAAACTCATGTTTTTTACCAAACACATAATTCAAAACATATCCATCCTCTTCAAGATAGGCACACCTCTTGAAGGGCACATAAGCACACATGTTAAAATGAATTCACATACCCTTTACCAAACCTCAACCCTTTAACAAAAATTAGCAGAACCACGAAAACCGAAATAATCGCCGGAATAAACACACATAGACACATAGAAAATAGCCCACAAAACCACGAAAAAAAAATACCTAAAATCAGCACTCGGCTCACAGTAGCCCACAAAACCACAAAAAAGTTCAAGAAAACTTTCCTATATCAAAAATAAGAAATCACAACCCAATCCAAACATATACAACCTAAAACCTGAAGATTGATGGTGAATGCACGTTCAAACAAGGGCGAGGTCTCGACTCCTCTTAATCTACAAATTGGGAGTTTAATTATTATTATTAATTTTTATTTGATTGATTAAGGCACAAAAACAGGCAAGGCAAAGAAGGCAAAGAAGGCAAACAAACAGTTGAATATACTAACGGCAATTTAAACAGATAAATTAGATAAAGGCAATTAGACCAACAGCATATCAGCACATAAAGTAAGGCTCAACAAAATTTAGTTATTACACATAGCAAGAAATATGACATAATAAGGCCAACCACAAACAACTAAGATAAGGTTTCAAACTGAACATGTACTTGGCAAGAAATATGATATTTCAGCATATAAGAGACTGCTACAGAGGCTAGGTAAATTGACATAATAAGGCCAACTACAATAACCAAGGTCAAGGATAACATGCACCTTTTTACTTTAAATTTAACCCATCAAGCATATAGCTCTAAGGCTGAAATTTAGCACTTCCAAAACACCAACTTTCAGCACAAAAACAGCATAAGGAAAACTCAGCACATACTCGACGAAGGTAGCCAAAACAGAACATAAAACACCTCTTAATCTCTTACAACTATAAATCAAATTAAAGCACAACAAAAGGTCATAGAGCTGAATGTAAAATATGATATTCCACATGCTATTCAGCACAAAATTCCCATGTACAGCAACCTCAATAAAACTCAAAAAGCAAGGCAAAGTTCACATATGTCAGCACTTAAACACATGCTAGCCGCCTCAATAAATTCTCAAACTCAAAGATCCAAACATCACGATTTTTTTTTTCTTTTTCTTTTTCTTCTTTTGTTCTCCCCAAACATTTTGAAGAATGCACGAAAATAGTCCTAAGAAGTCGACTAAAAAAAATCATTTCTACATCAATTAGCAAAAAAAAAAATAATAATAATAATAAGACCTCAATTTAACCATACATATCTCAATTGAAAAAAACAATTTTAGTGAACTCAAAATGCACATTTTACCTAAAACACCCTATAAATCGACGGAGAAGAAAACGAGCCTAAATAACACACCTTCAATCGACGGAGAGAACCTTCAATCGACGGAGAAAAACCTTCAATCGACGGAGCCTAAATGACACACAAAATAATTACAACAGGCACCTTCAATCGACGGAGAAGAACTGAAAATAAAAATTTTAACTAAAAGAAACCCTAAATATAGCCTAAAAAACACAACAAATTAAAAAAAAAACAACATTAAATCGCCGGAAAAGAGAGCACTCGTGTAGTCGGAATAGAGAGCAAGCAATTTTTTTTCGCCGGGTTTTGCTTTTGAGCAGAAAGAGAGAGTGATGAAATGGGGAGCGGGAGAGAGAAATTTGGGGTAACAAGAAAAAGCTATTTTTTTAAAAAAAAAAAGTGTTCAAGGGCATATTGGTCTTTTTGAGAGCTAAAATGGCTAGATTTTATTTTTTTTAAAAAGATGGCTATATTTCAATTTTTTCTTTTGGCAAAGTGCTATAAAGGGCCATTACCACTTCTTTTTCCTCTTCTTTTCCCCTACATGAACAAGTTTCTTCTTAAAAATTTGACACAGAAAAAAGGTGTACGTGGCTTATATTAAAATAATCTCGTGTCCCATAATTTGTAGTTTTATTAGCAGTTTTACTTTGTTTTAGAGATATATTTGTAGGGATTGGTTTCAATGCATCCTCTTATTTAAAGTGAGGACGTGAGACCTGATCTTGTCCGTTCACTCCTCATCTAATCTAACGTTCAGAATTGATTTATTACATTAATTAATATTTCGCGGGCGATTTCTTCGATTTGGCTTTTCGTCTTCCTTTTTTTCTCATCTTCCTTTTCATCACAGAATTCTCTTCCTTTTTTTCTCTCTCCCGCATCCATTTTCGCTCTTGCTCGTTTAAGGTCGATTTCGATTTTGCTTTTCGTCTCAATTTCTGTTTCCATTTTCTCGTTCGTCGTTTCTTGTCGCAGATTCTCGTCTTAATCGGTGAGTATTTTTGCTTTTATTTTTGTTTGTAATCTCTTTTTTTGATTTTAGTTTTTTTTTTCATTGACTAGATTAAAGTAATATGATTTAATTTTGTATGATCTCTGTTAGTTTTTTTGAAGTAAATCCATGTATAAAGTATATATCATCCATATTTTTAGAGTTCTATTGGTTTTTGTCTGAGTTGCAAGGTTATTTGTGTTTAGTTGCAAGGTTCGTTGTCCGTAGTTGCAAAATTTGTTCTATCTTGTTGCGGGGTTAGTTTTTTTATTGTTTCTAGGTTATCTTTCTGTTGTTGCTAGGTTAGTTTTATGTAGTTCCTGGGTTAGTTGTATATAGTTGCAAAGTTAGTTGTATCTAGTTGCAATGTTAGTTATTAGAAGTTGCAAGGTTAGTTCTATGTTGTTGCAAGGTTAGTTCTATCTAGTTGCATGTTTAGTTGTATTTATTTGCGATGTTAGTTGTATTTTGTTGTAAGGTTAGTTGTTTTTGGTTACAGGTTTATTTGTATTAAATTGCTAGTTTATTTATCTGTAGTTGCAATGTTAGTTATCTGCAGTTGCAATATTATTTATATCTCGTTGCAATGTTAGTTTCAAGGTTACTTCTCTGCTGATGCAAGGTTTGTTATATCTAGTTGACATTTCTATTTTTTTTTTGTAACTCAGTTTAATTTGGAGAAATGGCTACGGAAAATTCCAATAAGCGTCGGAGGGATGATGACATTCTTTTGCTGACTGATTCATCTCATCATCCTGTACGTCGAGCTCGTGAATGGCAGTTTGATGTTCTAGTTCTTTGCCCAAAGCTCGCAACCCGTTCTTCTCCAAAAGTTCTGGTTGAGGCCATTGCACAATTCAATGATGAACAGAAAAGAGCAGTAGATAAAATGTGTAACGCCCCAAAACAGTAACCATATTCAGAACGGTTTCACTGCTCGACTATAAATGAAATCCGTAATTTTCAGAAATTATCGAGTTATATTATTTATGCTAAATGCTCAAACATGATAAATTATTCTTTGAATAATTCTATCTCAAGCATAAGTTAAAATTAATCCATTAATTTGGGTTGGTAAATAATAGCAAGTCAATTCGAGAATTTATCGACTCGGAACCCTAGTTTGGTTCCGAGTTAATTTTCGAGTAAATCCCGAGCATAGCCAGGTATTGGTATTTTTATACTTAGAATATTTTTCTAAGTGTATATAAATATCAAAGTATAAGTCTTGATCATTTTTCTAAACTCGAGCCCTAGCCGAGTCTCGGACCCGAGCCCCGAGCCCGCGCCTTAGCCGCGCCAAGCATGCCCACCGATCCCTCAAAGCATTGCCCAAGTCCTATCCTATCTTGTGGAAAATTTTCTTAAGTATTTTGATCACCAAGAGAGACCCTATACTCAGCCCAAGGTCCTTCCCGCGCCGGTCCAACGCGCCCTTGCGCCCAGCCTGCGTCCCCGCGCCCAGGGCCCAGCGCCCAGCCCAGCGCCAGCTTTGGCAGCCCAACTTCTTGAGCCCAATTTCATAAGTTCCGGCCCACTTCTCTCATGACCCAATTCAGGCGTGTAATTAGGACCTAATGAGGGTCTAATTAAGCTTAAGTTTCCCTAACAAAAGATTATCCAAAGACATCTAGCATGGACAATATTTTATTAGTAGTGCATGAGGAATCTTTTATTTTTTTAATCACTTGTGCAGCCCTTGTCCCCCCACCCTCGTGCCAGACCTAACTTGACCTCTCCATAATGATTTTTATACTCTAAAATAAGCTCAAAGAACGTGCAAAGTCAGGCCTTAAGCATGCCCAAGGTCTTGGACCTAAATTCCATGCCATTAGATGGAATTCCCACTTCATTTGTCCCCCACCAAGTCACCTAGCTATCTCCGCCCAAACCAGTACTTAAGGACCCTTCCTCAGTCCCTTTTAAGACCTTTGATCACTTGAAGCCCTAGCATATAGTGAGGAGTAGAGAGAAAAACCGAATCTAAGGCAACCAGCCCCTTTGCTCGCGCCCAGCACCCCGGGGAAGAGGAGCAGCGAGGTCCAGCCCCCTACAGCCATAATCTCTCGAGGCTTAGCACTATATAAGTGTACCTTATATTTTTCTAAGTCTCTTGGAGGTGTTTGACACAAGCAAAACACAACCTAAGTCCAAGCCAAC